AAGATAAGAACAAGGACAATGAAACTACAAAGGCATTTAAAAGCAAGAATAACAGAATGTGGTTTCCTAAAATACCAAATCACAATCAAAATCTGAACAATTTCATCCATGAAATATAATATAGAATTAAAGGTTATCTACTTAAAAACCAAAAAATTAAACAAAACGTCATAAAACGCTAAATATAAGCCCTAAAAGAATTGCAGAATAATTCACAAATTATCATAGTAAAGGTTGATAAAGGCTGGTAAAAACTGTAATTATGGAAACAGGAGATTACAACAACTTATTAATAAAACACTTAAATGATTCAACCAAATTCAAAAAACTATCCATAAACCTTAACGAATGTTATGGGAGACAATTGAATAGCCTACACTTGAAGTTAAAAAAGAACAATGACAATACAGATGACATATACAACAGCTTAAAAGTTACCAATGCACGTACCCCTTGTTTGTTCGGTGCTCCGAAGTTTCACAAAAACACAATTGACATCTGCCCCATCCTTTCCACTTATGGCAGCTATAACCATGAACTTGCATGATTCCTAGATTTTCTGATCAAACCGTTGCATGACAACAATAAATACAAGGTTAAAGGTGTTCTAGAATATCGAAGCATTCTCAAAAACCTCAACAATCATCACAAAATGTATTGTTTCGAAGTCGTCTCTTTGTACACAATGAAACCGAAAGATGAAGCAACAAACCTAGCTCTACAAATGATATCCCCAAATTCTGAGAAACTGCATTACAACCTTAGCTTGGAAATTTTGAAAAACTTGTTTCACTTTGCACTAAAAATATGTTTCATCTGTAAAGGCAAAACTTATGAAGAAATAGATGGCTTAAGTATGAGCAGCCCTCTGGCACTGGGACTATGTAAACTGTTTATCAACAACATAGAAAGCAGGCCATTAATACAGCCCTACACCCTCCCACTTTCTGGGTTAGATATGTCAATGATGTATTCTGTGGATTTGAAGACAACAACCATCAACAGTCATCTCTACAACATGTAAAAAACGTTCACTCTAGCATCAAATTCACACATGAAGAAGAGAATGAAAACCAGTATTTAAACTACATAAATATAACAATAGGAATAAACTCCAACAGTTTTAACACGAAAATCTTCCACAAATCTGCTCATAGTAACAATTATACAAAATGGAACTCAGTCCACTCAACTCAACAAAACTTTGGCACGTTATCATGCATTTAATACACAGCACTTAACATATGTAATAGCAGCAATCTGCAGGATGAATTAGAATAAATATATGACACATTAATTGACAAATTTCACTTCCCTAAACACATTGTCACTAGAACTTTAGTCAAATATAAAAACAAACTCAATAACAGAAAAAAAAAGAAAAACAACATAAACTTCATGAAGGAAACAAAATGCACAAACTCAGACACACTAATAGGTGTCTTACCATATCATAGCTTTGTAACCAAAAACATCATAAACATTAAGACATAAGCACAAAAAACACACTAAATAAACAGCAAAGTTACCTTTATTCAAAAACCGAGTACTAAATCAATTTCAATGACGTAACTATCTACAAGTATCAATGTAATCGACGCGATAGCACTTATGTAGAAAAAACGAGATGCAAAATAAGCATTAGGATCAAGGAACCTAACAATTCTCCATCACACATTTACGAACGCAGCACAACATTAACAACTATGAGATATTATGCTATGAGGACAATATTAATAGAAAAAAAAAATAAAAGAAGCATTAATTACACAGGCCTGCAAATTTAAAATTCATAAAAGTTGTTTTGGTTTTAATAACGGATTTTCCATACTTCAGCTACACAGGTTTGGAAATTAATATCGTTTTCTTCTATCACATAAGGAGTTTATACAAATCAGAAAGAAAAACTCTTACTGAGACAAAATTATTATTTCGTTTACCACAATGAATATTTTTTTTTACTATGTTTGTTGTGTTTGGGTTCTAGAATGATCGATAAAACTCTCACTCACGATTGGTCTAGATAAATCTATAGCAAGTAGTTATCAATATTTTAAGGATAACCAAGTGCGACCCACTTTAAATGAAAATGATTCACTTATGTAAAATTATATATGAATATTTCGTGAAATTTCTGTGCATTCTGGAGAAAACTGGATATCACTTTCGGATTAAGTGTACAGGAAGTACTGTAGAATATGTAAAAATTTCAGCACAATACTTCCATTGCAGGTCTCTACTATTCGTGAACAAAAACCTAATATAAATTGAAACACAGGTGCCACCCTATATGTTTTCTAAATTGGAACAGAATGTTCGAGCAGTATTTCACAAAACAGAGACAGTTACTTGATGATAGCCACATGAGTGGTCAAAACATTGTAAACAAAAATAAGTATAAATAAAAATAAAAAATTCACCTAAAATCTGTATCTTTGGACTTTTATTTAAAGTGTATAGTGGAATTCTTCTCTTTACAACAAGTCTCAAAGTTTTATGCAATTTTAATCTTCAAGGGAATATTCTATAGAAAATGAATGGATAAACAGTAAGTGATTCATTTATTATTTTTAGTTGTTGCAAATTGTATTAGTACAGTTAAAATATATAAAATAATGGTTTTAACATAATTAAATCTAATGGAAATATATATGTCCCAACATATATGCTAAAATCTTACAGACAGTCGTTAAAAATTGTTTTAACATAATTAAATATAAACATTGATCATATGTAGAGGTATAGTGTCCACCCTTGTAAAACTTGTGTAAGATAAAACTATAAAGTAACATGTGTAAAATGAAATATTTTGTCTTGCATATTAAATAAGCAACAATAATTTTTGAAATAATAACTTGCTCTATAATTTAAAAGTCAAACAGTAAGTTTCAATTATTTCATGATAACGTCCTTTTAAGATGATTTAACATTAAAATGTCATGAAATAAATAGAACTAATAAATTAATGTTAAGGGTCCATTTTCATGACAATTTACATAAATGGTCAGGGAATGTAATTAACTAATAGTTTAGTGTCTTTTTTTTTTCTTTTTTCAGGACATATCAATGGTCAGGAAATGTGTGTTTGTTTGTTTGTAATTAAGCACAAAGCTCTACATTTGACTGTTTGTGCTCAGCCCACCATGGGTATCAAAACTCGGTTTCTAGCATTGTAAGTCCACAGACATACTGCTGTGCCACTGGGGGTTGTTGTTGTTGTTTATTATTAAGCACAAAGCTAAACAAAGGGCTATCTGTGCTCTGCCCACCACGGGTATCGAAACCCGGTTTCTAGCAGTATAAGTCCGAAGACATACCGCTGTGCCACTGGGGAGCGCCACTGGGGGCGTCAGGAAATGTAATTAACTAATAAAGTATTGTTCTGTACCGACTGTATTAATTATAGTCATGTTGAGACATACTGATCAATTTTGGCAATCTAGCAAAGCACCTTCTGGTGACACTTTGGAAACTATGACGTCATAGTCTTAGGTGACATCATTGCACTCCTTCCCTTTTCCTACCCTTACTTGAGGCAGCCAATCAGTGCGTGTGTCTGAAGTGCTGCCCTAACTTCTCACGGAAGAAAGTAAATTCGACCTAATTGCAGGCATACATTTCTTTCTAATTCATTTAGCTCATCACAACTGATGGATATTTGGATCTAAATAAATATACAAATATAAATATTGTATTTTGATTACATATTATTAATATAAAATAGTTCTGTAGCACTACTTGTTTCATTTAGTTCAGGAGTGTATTTAATGTTCCTTGGTGGGACAGAGATAAGTATTCAGATTTACAATGCTAAAATCAGGGGTTCGATTCCCATCAGTGGATACAGCAGATAGACCAATGTGGCTTTGCTATAAGAAAACACATACACACACATTATATTTGAAAACATAGAATAAAAATAATAATACTTATAGTAGATAAGTTGACCATAATTATCGCTAGTAGAGCTATAAGATACCATAATTGCATGAATGTTGAAATCAAACTGATTGTAGATTTATATGACTACAATTTATATAGGAATGAGGGACCCAAATTTGAATGCTTCATATATATGTATGTAGATATAGAGTTGATCAACTCAGAATTGACCTTCGTTCACATGTTTTAACTGAAATACTAAATTTCATCTGACATATAACAACATTGATTTGTAATTGACAAAATGAATACTAAAAATTGACGTTCTTTATACAAGTAAAAAGATAGTACATCACATATCATCATAACGTTATTTCAAGATCTATATCTGTTTTGAAAAGTATGAAAAACTACGTTTTCTGAGTCTGAAACATCAAAATATAATCATCAATGAACAATTATTAATCATAACATGGGATTTGAAGCTTGTTAATATTAAAAAATAAGCAAATTAGTTGTTGAATAAGTCAAGATCTAGCATAAGCAAACTAACTTTCATGAATTACGAGAACAATTTAGTCATTTTGTTCAATTAGTTCTTGTAAAAAAGATGTTTGTTTACGTCCCCGTCCTTAAAGCATTTATTAGGATTTATAGGTACATGTGAATGTGTGGGCCAGATTCTTTACAGTAGGTATCTGTGACTTGTTGTCAATAAATTTCAACAATAAACAAATAGCACACAATCCACTTGTTTCAAAATAATATATTGAAAGAAGTCAAACATATATACAAATGTCCGTTTCACAGTTAATCACCACAGTTGTATCTAGAGCTTTAATAACGGTTTCTTTTCGTCAAAGTCCACAAAGGCTGGTTCATTTACTTTAGAACACAATTGAAAAGACGAATTATTCTCCTCTGCTCTGTTGTTACAATATAATTGGTGATAATTTCACTTATATTACACTGTTTGTTATTACCACAGTTGCATCCAGAGGTTTAAATAATTGTCTCTTTTCCTTTTAAATCTTTATGTTAAAATTCATGTACTGACTAAATCTTTATTGATACATTTATTTTTTCATTTGAATCTGTTTACTTGATTGTCATTTCAGTTAGTGGAGCTACTGACTGACCGTTATAGTAATGTGATCAATGGTTACACCATCGTCGATTGTCGATATCCATATGAATATGAGGGAGGTCATGTTATTGTAAGTTTCTTAGTTTTTTACATCAGCATTTGGTCAGTAACATCCATGCACTGAAAAATTCCAATTAAATAGTTTTAATAGTTTAATCATCTTAAAAACTGCAAGTAATCTTTTGCCAGATCAGTCTTGTAGATCACCGATATTTTTTTACACAAATAACCAGTATTGTAAAGTTCATATACTCAGTAGCAATTACCTAACAGCTTCTTTAATATTGGTCTTGCCCTCAGCCTGTAAATGAGCAAGTATTATTTTATTTGAAGGTATCTGTTGATCATTGGCCTTTGCTAATATCTTAAATCAATCAGATTGGTCGAAAACATATCTTCTTTTAGGGCATATTCAAGTACATTAGACTTAATAGTTGATCTTTCGTTAGCAAGTTTTTTCACTTACATTATCAATTTTCATTTAATACAACTGATGTAGCCTTGCTAACAGCAAGGACAGGTAGACAAATGAAGAAGAATTTTGGTGCTTAAATCTAAAGAAAAACTGTAGGTGAGAATTAGGTTTAAACATACATCTCAACTGTATCTGTGGATACACTCTTGTAATAGTATTCTTTAACTGATTTTTAAAAAGTAAAGAATATTTACCCATATATGGTAAACTGATAACTACAGCATACTTAGACACTTCAATTTGTTTTATGTAATTATAAAGTATCCTATCAATAACCTAAAGAGTTCAATAACATCAGAGAATTTATATATAAGAACGACTTCCCAATTTTTTGTTATGGGAGTTGCTTTTTTTATAAAAATATTGCTGTTTGTTAAGGACCAGTGTATAAATTTACATCATGGTAAACTTGGTTAAATTCATTCATTTGTTATCATGTTTCTTCAGAGACAGTAGAGAATTAAGTGCAAGTACACACCATTTGTAAAGGGGTGAATATGGCCCTACCATACATACATTTTTCTTTTAATTTGACTTTTTGCTTGAAATTTCTAAATCTACTATGTAAAATGTTGTTAACTTGAACATATTCATAAGGTAAACCTAAAACTGTGAGTCAATCATACACAATTTACCATATTTTGGTGGCTACTTTGAATATGAGAACTCTGTTAAACCAGTTTATCAAATGAAACTTTGTATAAGTTAAGGTTCAATCTCTTGGTTCAAAAATGCATTGAAACTCCCAAAATGTTGTTTTGGTGTTAGATGACAAATCTTCCCAAAACAAAGCTGTTAGATATACACGACAGATATATATATAGATATATACATATAACAGTATATAACATATATACATATAACAGTATATAGATATACATGACTGTTTAAGTTTAATGCAAGTGTTATAACTTAGATTGTCTTAGTATAGCACAAGAGATAAATGTAGTTATTTTTAGAAGTGATAGTTTCTCGCAGATTTGTTTACCTAACTGTGTATGAATCATACATTGTGTAGTTCAGTTTTTGTAAATTGGCACTTGTTGTATTATTCCATCATGTTGCTATAACCTTCTAAGTTTTTCTCATAGTTTTTATCGAGTATTATTACATCATAATATCTCATAATGTGTAGAAAGTTCTAGGCCTTAGTTAGGCTATAAATACGCATACAAAATGTATTCAAGTTAAGTTATACAAAGTTAATGAGAGATATAGTAAAATAGATCTAGACTGTGTGTTTGTGAGTTTAGCCATAAGAGCTTATAGTGGCGATTTCTAAAGTGAAATTATCGCAGATTGTATTATAACAACAGAGTAGAGAAGAATAATTTGTCTTGCCAATTGTGTTCTAAAGTAATTGAACAAACCTGTGTGGACTTTTGACAAGTTTTAAATAAAAAAAGCATTGTCAAAAATCAAACAATGAAATCAAATAAAATGGCATAAATACAATCTTCTAATATATTTTTTTTAAATCAATATATATTGTATTATGTACATTATCATATCTCCAGATACAGTAAGGTACCCCAATCTGTTTTATTTATTGTGTGTTGTACATTATCATATCTCCAGATACAGTAAGGTACCCCAATCTGTTTTATTTATTATGTGTTGTATGTTATCATACCTCCAGATGCAGTAAAATATGATTCTAATCTGTTACATTTATTGTTATTATACCTCCAGCAAGAGTTCGTACTCTACCTTGTTCTATTGCTGCATAACTTTACACGATGTTAAGTGGATATGAAGAGAACCAAAATTTTGAACTTTACGTAGTTTGCTTAACATCTTTACCACATTATCATTTTAATATTAATACTTGTTTGTGTGTTGTACATTATCATACCTCCAGATGCAGTGAAATATGATTCTACCTGTTCTATATATTGTATTATGTACATTATCATATCTCCAGATATAGTAAGGTACCTCAATCTGTTTTATTTATTGTGTGTTGTATGTTATCATACCTCCAGATGCAGTGAAATATGATTCTACCTGTTGCTTGGCCTTGGTTTGTTTAAATAGATTATCTTTGTATGCCTCAATTTTTTTTTACAATCAATATGTCCGTAAATTACTCATTTCCTTTCTTCAGGCAAAAATTTTTTTGCTTTTGTTAAATAAAATTTAGTTGCATTAATTCACTTACTCACACTCAAAACTTCAAATAACTTTAATGATAATAAAACACAAAACATAGAAGTATCTAAGTATAAGTTTAATATCATTTTGAATGAAAGCATATTTAGGCTTACTCTACCTCATGAGTTTCCACTTAACTAAAAACAGTTTGTATTTTAAATAATTGTTTATTATACATGTTTATTAACTAAACTCTTGAGAAGGCATCAATATTGTTGCAGCAATTCATGTAAAGAGTTTTGTCTAATAAATTTCACAGATGAATAATTAAAAAACAACAATGTTAAAGCAAAATATGAATAGGTCAAGTATATCTTTTAAAATAAAGTGTGTTTGATGTAAGAAAGTTATCTTGAAATTCACAAAATAGTAACTGTGTTGTTGTATTTGCTATTAACATGTTAAGTTTATTTTTATTCTGTTCAATATTTACTAGGATGAGAACAGCCTACCTAGTGGGATGTTAGAACTCCTAACAGCCCCACTTATTCAGACACATAAACCAGAAACTCAGCAGAAGGGGAAGAAGCTAACAGCCAGAGCAGGCACTAGAAGGTGTCTTTCTATGAAAATGGAAGAGAATGAGTATGGAAATGAGGTACATTTAGGCTTCAAGAAAAACTGGCATTAGTAGTTACATAGTGATTAAATGATATTTGAATATGTTCAGATGTGTGTTAAAAGCTGTAAGCCTCATAGCCTAAGCTAATTTTAGTGAATATTGGTCCATAATACAGGTATTTCAATGGAAATCATTGAGGAATGAGATGTATTTTTTTTTTATTTTAACGCAATATTAGGTCTGATAACAATGATAAAGGGTTTTTATGGTTCACTCATTTATTTCAGAATAATAATGGAATAGTATACATGATTAATAATAAAGAAGGACACTGTTTAAAAGGATCATTATGTACGAATTACAATTTAATGAAAATATAGTTTGTGGAAGTGCCCTTAACTCTCTTTGTTTATTCCTTATTTGTAGAACAATACTTTCTCTTATGGTCTCTCAAAGTCTCCTAGTATGCTTTTAATATCCTCTTCTAAAGCCAGTAAGAAGATGAACATGAATTGCATCAGTCCACCTACCCGTCCACACTCCTTGTCTAGTTCTAGCCATGTTCTGTCCTCATGTGTCAGTTTGCCTGGACTGGAAACAGATTCCAAAAGCAATAATGACGAAAGAGAGAGAGAGCTTGTTATTACACCTGACACTCCACTGACACTTGTCCAAGAAAAAGTGGATTTTGGTAAAGACTTCAAGTCTGCTTTTAAGCGACCAGAGCCACCCAAAGGTCATGGAAGCCCCATCCAGAGCAAAAGAAGAAAGAGTATGCCTTTTTGTGTAGGTTTCATTTGGGAATGCTTTAAGGATTTACTGTTAAGTTTTGGCAGTTTTTTATCAACATAATTCTGATGTTAGTATGTCTCACTTTTATTTATCTTTATTGAATATCATACCTAAATATGAAAAGTCAATAAAATATTGTTAGTGTACACAGCCAATTTTCAAGATGCCTTTTGGGGTGGGAAGAATTTTTTTATATACTGGCTCTAAGTATTTTAGATGTGTACTCTTTATGATATTTCTATTGATATTATTATAACAGAGAGCCATTACATTCCCATTTCTTAAAACCATGTGACTAGAGAATGGTTTAAACCAATCAGTTTTCACTTCTTTAAGTGTTTAAAGTGGAAGAATGACATTTTCTCTGTTAATAATAATGTGAGTTCAGTTTCATGAATTTGTTAACAATGCAAACAATTTTAATGTTAAGAATATTTGAGATACTAAGTATATTTGTATATTTGATCATCTAGATAAAATTTTCAACTAAGACATTTATTCAAACTCTTGTCCTAGCATCTTTATTATGTTTTATTACGAGCTTTAAAGTATGTAATAATCTTACATAATTAAAAACACACATAACTCTCAAACCATTTGTGTTATTTCTCTTAAAGGATAAATAAGAAATAGAAAAACTTCTTTCATTCAGAGTATGATTGTCTCATTATTAAATGATTAAACCTTGTTTTCCAAATAGTCCAAGACCTGCTCTACTATTTAGCTTCCCTGTGAGCAAAGTAAATGTAATGTTGTGCAAATAGTAAGGATAATTTAAAATGGACACGTGGCCACTTATAAGAACATCTTTAAAGTTTGGAATAAAGTTCATATTCATTTTACTTTAATTTTTTATGTACCTCTTATTTAACAGGAGCCACTCACCAGAAAGCCTGTACAGAGGTCTTGTTCTGAAACTGAAGCAACCATCATAAAAGCATTAATGAAATGTAAGTACTGATGAATGAAGTCGTTACTTCAATTGATAAGAAAATATACACAATATTAATTTTTTCTAATACTGTATGCTATGTTACTTTGCTTTATTAAGAGAAAATGTTTTTTTATTGTCTTATCTCATTAATGCGTGCAGCAGTTTAAACTACCATGTAATATGATAGTTTAAAACACAAAACAATGAAGTAACTTTTACAATATCAAGATAAATATGTCGATAATTAAGGGAATATGTATTTACCTAAAACTCTTTGTTTTGTGTGCATTATATAAACTTGAGAATTCAAAATTATGGGATCAGTGGTCAGTGTAAGCTTATCTTCAATTTGTATTATACAGATTCTTAATTACTTATAATTAATTTTTAATTCTAGCGGATATGAACCCTAACTTAATTGGTGATTTTTCAAAGGTAAGTTCACATTTGTCTAAAATTATTTACATTACCAAAATTTTTACTAACTTTTTCTAGATGCTTTTTCTTAAAAAAAAAATCTTTATCTTAACATGGTAACTGAAGTAAGCCTGTAAGTTAAAGATGTAATCACTGAAAAATGTATTATAACTAAAAAAAAAGTGGTTATATAGTAGAGATGTAAGCATTGAAAAACAAGCTATAGGTATAAAAAGATATGCTTGTATAGAGGTTTAAATCATTGAAATGTGTCTTGACTAAAAAGAAGTAAGCTTACATGGTAGAGATGTAAACATTGAAAAATATTTTATATCTAAGGAAAATGTATGCTTATATACTAGAAATGTAAACATCAAAAAACATTTTCTTAAATTAAAAATGTATGCTTGTGTGGTTGATATGTAAACATTGAAAACATTACAAGAATAACTAGGTTTTACTAGTTATTACAACTGTGTGTTTGAAAACCAAAGTTTTTATTTAGTGCAGATATCTATCTTATTGGAATTTTAACATATTTTAAATCAGTCTTTTTCTTAATGGACAATAGACAATACATCATGAGAAATATGAATATTTAAGATCTGTTTTAATGTTCATGTTCATGTTCCAGCCGTACGCACTGCCTCTAATTGAAGGAAAACATAGAGAATTAAAGAACATTTCTCCAGATACAGTAAGATATTTTAATCTGTTCTCTTTATTGTTAGAGCACTGGTTTTGCAATGTGAGAGTCAAGGAGTTTGAATCCCACACCCAAATAATGTGAAAATCAATCCCACTATTTTTTGGTAAAAACTAATCCAAGAATTGGCAGTGTTTGGTGTTGACTTGCTGTCTTCCTTCTAGTCTATCACTTCAAGAGTAGAGGTGGCTAGTGCACGTTGTCCTTGAGTAGGTTTGAGCAAAATTCAAAACAAACAAACAAATTAAGAACTGTTGTCAAAATTGTCCTTTGTGTTATGACAAACCTCACACCTGGGCACATGTATTTTTGAACAAGAAGTAAACTTAGATTGTTTTCACAACTTAGAATATTATAAAACCGGATATTTAAAAATTGGAATTCAAAGAATTTACAAGGATTTTCACTTTCACTGAATCAGCTGTATAAAGTATCATGATGGCTGTTGGTCAGATCATGTGATTTTGTCATGATTGATTTGACTTGAAATGAGGAATAACTTTCTTAGGTTTTGATGTAAGAACAGTTAGAGTACACCATGAGGGAACATGTTATTGTTGGAGGAAGAAGGCAGATGTAGAACAATCTGTGTACACCATGAGAGAGATGCAGAACATTTATGAGGTAACCCCCAGAGTCAACAGTTTGTATGTTATAGACTTTTTTGTTCTACATCTGATTACTTCCTCCAACAATAACATGTTCCCTCATGGTGTACTCTAACTGTTCTACATCTGATTACTTCCTCCAACAATAACATGTTCCCTCATGGTGTACTCTAACTGTTCTACATCTGATTACTTCCTCCAACAATAACCTGTTCCCTCATGGCGTACA